CCCTGAAACCCTAAACCCCTAGAACAACCCCCAAGTTGGAGTTCTACGCCTGAGGCTAGGATGGCAACAGTGACGGCAGGGTTGAAGTGGGCACCGGAGACCTGGATGGGTTTAGGTTTAAGGGTTAAGGGTTTAGGTTTAAGGGTTTAAGGTTTAGGTTTGAGGGTTAAGGGTTTAGGTTTAAGGGTGAAGGGGAAACTACTATTTAGGTTTAGGTGTTTAGGGTTAGTTGAGGGTTTAGGGCTCAGGGTTTGGGGGTCTAGGTCAAGGGTCTAGGGTTCAGGGTTTGGGGGTTTAGGGCTTAGGGATCCTTAACAGCAACCCCGAGACGTCGCCCAGGGCGTAGATCATGGAGGTGAGACCGGCGGCGATGGAGAAGGCGGCTGCCTTGGAGCTACCCAGGACGTTGAGGCCCACAGTCAGGACCTGGGTGGCACTGGTTTAGGGTTAAGGGACCGTAGGTTAGCGGGATATAGGATTCATATTGGGATAATGGAAAAGGAAATGGACGCTACTAGTTTAGGGTACTGGCCATTGGTTAGCTAGGAATGAAGGAATGGATCCTTATCGAAGTCACATAACCCATTATGATAGTTTCCATGTTCCTTTCCATTCCCTTCATTCCCAGCTTACGAAAAGTAAGGTGAAGTCACCTGCAATTGCTGATGAGTAGGTTCCCTACCAAAACGAGGAAGAACATTAAGAATGATCCCAAAGTGCCACCCAGAAACCAGCATGTAGGTTCCAAGGAACTCGCTCACCAGCTCGGTCATCTGGCTCTTTTCACCTCCGAAGTCCTCAGGGCGCACCACCTTGAAAAGGGCCGCCGCCATGGCTGCACCCAGCAGCTCGAAGATGACGTAGGCGATGGACCAGCCAAAGCCGCGGAAAGCGCTGGACACATCAATGCCAAGGGCCACAGCTGGGTTGAAGCAGCCGCCCGAGACGGCGCCAGCGCCATAGGCACCCGCCACCACCGTGAATGCAATGGCCATGCCGTAGTACTGATTCTTCTCAGCAATGTTCTTCTTGGCCACAGCCACATTCATGACGACGAAGGTCAGCATGAAGGTGTAGAGCAGCTCACAAAGCCCAGCGTGGTACCAGGAGAAGCCCTTGGCAGGCATCAAGTTGAAGCTCATGCCGAAGAGCAGGGAGTAGCAGATGGCCGCGGTGATGCCCGCGGCAGTCTGAACGCCACAGTAAATGCCCACCGTCTTCCAGTCCATGCCAGGACCACCCATGGCCTAGAGACCATTACTGGCTTGGCCCCTAAAACCCTTTGAAGAATATTAGTATATAGGGTCCCGTATTAAAGCCATTAGGGAAAATATTAAATATCCCAGGGGCGTACCCAGATTAATTTAAAAAAATATCTCATGCGCTCTGAATTGACTACCACAACTCCTGCTGCTCCTGCTCCTACTCCCCCTACTGAGTTGTCCTTCTGATGGTAGCGGTGGCAGCATTACCAGTAATTGCTGTTGTTGTAGCAGAAGCAAGTCGTAATCCTTTCATCCGAATGCTAAAAATCCCCACCGCCCAATATCAGGCATGTTCCACAATCTATGCAGATATCCATCTCTTACGGGGGCGGATTCTTAAGTGAAGAGATCAATCCCCTATGCCCTATGAACCTTCATATAAATCCACTGTCAATGTAATTTGATGCTTCAGCATTACCCAAAACAATAAACCTTAAACCCGGCTTCGTCATTGCCGTAAGTCCTAACACTAAGCCCTAAAAAGGATTGGTACAATTTGTCAGTCCGGCCTTGGAGATACCGAGCGTTACAGACACGGCCGGATTGAAGTTTCCTCCGGAGATGCCTCTCGCCGTGTACTGTAATCCCTGGCACCTATTATAAAGTTTCGAATAATTTGGTAGGTTTATACCATGACAAACACTTGGACCTATAATGAACATACCGACTCGCATAATGTCGTAGGTTTATAGCACATCAAAACCCAATGGTTCTCAAGGAAACCGGAGTGTAAAGGCATAGCTTAGGGTTTGGGATTCAGGACGTAGATTTTTAGGTTTAAGCCCAGGGGGTTGGCGTTGGGTTTAGTGTTTGGAGTTTTATATATGACTCCGGGCAGAATTGAGTCTTCAACTTTTTTGGCTCAGGGTGTAGGGTTTAGGGCATTCAGTGTTTAGGGGTTGTGCTCTATGCCTCCAAGAGCGTAGATGCAGACCATCAGCACAAAGGCGATGGACACACCAGCCCAGGTGGCCTGGTTTCGTTGACGCTTACCCCCAAAACCCGAATCCTCTCACCATCCTACCGAAATAGCTCAGCTTCAGAAGAACTTACGACCCCCAAAAGGGGAAAAGGCTTACTCAATACCCCAGCCCAACTAACGGGGAATTTTACGAGCCCGCATACTGAAAGAACCTCAGTCTTAGTCTTGATCTGCCGCTTCAATTTAGGTTGGGTTTCAAGACACGGGTGTAAGTAGGTTATGACTGCTGAACCCCTGAACATAAGTATAACTACCTTGAACCTCAAAATCCTAAACCTTAGACCCTAAACCGCCTATTGCAAAGTCTGAACCCCCTTTTCATCTCTATGTAATCAAAGTAGAATATACCCCGAAACCCTACGAATTCTACTTAAATAGGCCCCTGTAAAGCGGCATGCTAATCCAAGCTCAGGTGACGGAACCCCCCAGCACATTGCAGCCTACCGTGAAAATCAACAGGAAGGTGCCTCATGGGCTGAGGGCTGCTTTAAACTTAAGGTTCTAGGATTTAGGATTCTAGGGTTTAGGATTCTGGTTTAGAAAAGGTAGCTTAGGATTTTCAAGGTTTACAGAAGCAAGCTCAAGGAATATAACTTAAACCATAAATTCTAAACCCATGTATATATATATATATGCTCACCCCCCTCCCATGATCCACGTTTTGGTGTTTAAGGAGAACAGGAAGAAACGCAAGTGTGGATCATGGGAGGGGGGGGGGTGACCATATATATATATATATGTAAGGTTTGGGATTCTAGGGTTTAGGGTTTACGGACGCAGGTTTGAGGACTATAGATGCTGGGCATATAGAAACAAGCTCAGGACTCATATACGTGGAGCTCAGAATAGAGACTGATGAATACGATACTAGGTTTAGGGTTTTGGGTTTAGGGTGTAGAACAACATCCTGGGAAACCGCCAAACACGATAGTGAACCACAGACAAGCCTGTCAAATCCGGTCAAAATCCAAGGCGCCAAACCCAAAATATACCTCTAAATTCAGATCTTCAATAAAGATGTCCTTCGAAAATCATGGTCATTCAGAAGGAGGTATATGGGACTTTCTCAAGAAGGGGGCTGTTGCTTGCCACTGCTTAGCAGGCAATATAAGAATCGCAAAAAAAAATCCGCCGATGATAAAGGAAAGGACTGTTGACTACTATGGGGAGGCAAGCCTGGCCTAGGGGTTCAGGGTTTAGGGTTTATGGTGTAGGGTTTAGGGTTTAGGATCCCTAAACCCTAAACCCGAAACCTTAGAGTTACGTAATATGTAAATGTTAAATGTCTCTTCTTAAGGAGGATTATGCAGGGTTAATTCTGTTGAAAAGCTCCCATACGTATGTATATATATGCACAGAAAAGGTCCCTTGTGGTACATGTGTGCTTACACAAGATCATTTTCTGAGGAACAGAAGCTACACTCACCAAAGCCGAAACCCCAAAAACAAAACAGGCGGCCTTCTAGGGTTCCTAGACAAAAGTGGGGATTACAAAGGATAAATTGAAAGACTCCTACATGTTTTTCAAAAGTCGGAAATCAGAGTGCCCACGAACTCGGCCGTGCACTTGGCGGCGATCGTTGGCTCGGCGGTCATGGCTTTTCGAAGCTGGAGCCGGTGACTTCAATGAAACGGGAAAGCCCTGATCTTGGGTCTGGATGGCTGCGGCACGTGAAATGTAGGGGAGCAGGCTTTTGCGGCATATTCTTTCTGTGAACAATGAGGGGAATAACTGGTGAACTGCACAGCAGGCGCAGCAACTCAGCAAGACTTGTTGGCACTGCCTTGTCTTTGCTTTTCCGATAGCTGCCACCCCACGCACATAGAAAACCACAATAGGCAAAGCTGCACATAACATGCTTGTCGCAAGTATGCTCTGACGCATGAGGTCCGACGTGCTGTAGCAACTGTTAGCTGCCAGCTATATAGCCTCCTGGTTCAAGGATGATAGTTTTCACGTCCTTTCAGGAGCTCCGAAACGCTTGAGACTAGACTCTACACCCTGATGGGGCTAGACCGTACAGTCAAATCCTAAACCCTGAGCACCGAACACACCCTTTCGCTGAACACAAAGTGGCCAGTCGAGACTCCAAAGCGTCAAGCGCTTGAGCTTGTTCAAGTTCAGCAGAAGGGATCCGCCCAGAGCCTCTCACGCTCAACGATTTGTGGCTACCCGTGCCCTAACAAACATGTGACTACAGGTAAGACACTATGGAGACTGAACAATGGGCTACATGGGGCTTCATGATAGTTTGGGGGGGGGGAAGCGCTGGGGTCAAGGATGATGTCATCAAGGACCTTGGCCTAACTTGGCGCCCTAAACCCTAAACCCTAAACAATAAACCTTCCCTTTCAAGTTGAAAAGAAGACAACCTCCAAATTCTCATCCCGACGAATAATACCGTAGACCCAGAGCTGCCCTGAACCCAGGGAACCTGAATTAAGTTACCATAATAAAGGTATATAGGGTATATAACAGGGTATATGTAGACTCTGCCCCCAGGATTTGGGGTTTTAGGGTTTAGGGCTTTAGGGTTTAGGGTTTGATTAGGACCCACACATGGTTTCCATTGCCTTGTGGCCACTATTAGTGGGCAGGGCGCCTCGCGAAAGCTACTGCCTGAACCCGAAACACCCTAAACCCCGAATCCGAAACCCTCAACACCCTAAACCCTTAACTTTTAACGCCATAAACTTAAGCCTTAACCTCAAACCCTAAACCCGCAAACCTAAAACCTAGCCTCAACAAAAAAAGCACTTGTCCATCCTGACCTCCCCAAGTAGCTTTCTAACATCCAGGGTTTAAGGTTAGGGTTTAGGGTTTAGGATTTAGGGTTTAGGGTTTGGGGTTAGGGTTTAGGATTAGGATTTAGGGTTTAGGATTTAGGGCTCGAGGAGGCATATAAAGCCAAGCACATGGAACGACCATACTATGGGCCAGGGATCCAAACTTAGAGTATCCTAAAGCAACCTGTGCCGCTCCCTTCTGGCTCGGAACTTTGTCAGAAGTCTGTATATACACACATAGATATAAATATATACTTATTTATTTACATGTAGATGTGTATATATATATATTGGGGGGGGGGGTCCGAAGATAAGGGGTGCGGTTTTGGGAGCGCCCCATGAGAAAGGTTATAATATTTCAGAGCTTATAAGCCCTCAACCTGTATATTGAGGTCCCACAATTTCTACCATCTTCTTGATTCTGCGCAGCCCATTGGTTGCCTCAGAGGCCAAGGAAGCTTGAAGCCTAATGTAGAAGGCTAAACAAGTACCAAAAGTCATAGTCCTATGTTAGAGTTTAGCATTAAGGGTTACACTGTATTCCATATATAATATCTATAGTAGAAGGTACTTCAAATAGACCTCAACATCACATTGGCACTTAGTTAGGTCCCAGTATTCTTCGAATTCGAAGTAATTAACAAGCCATGGACCTCCAGCGAGCGGAGGAAGTATCACACTCCCCGAATGCCCGGCAGCTGTAGTAATAACAATACCTAATAATAGCAATAATAGTGCTTACTCCCTGCGCCAGCAACCAAGAGATTCAGGGTAATTTAGAAAGTTGAAGGCCATGTTGGTACTATTCCCTATATAACCCTAAACCCTAAACTGCTCCGACTTGCTCAGATTCAGCGGGTCGCCTCGAAGTCTTGCCTGAGAACTCCTCGCTCCTGGGCATGCGAGAAGACTTTGCTTGAAGATTGTTGGTGGCATTGTTGGGACTTACCCCTAAACCCTAAACCCTCAACCCTAAACTGTGTACGTAGGGTTCGGGTTGCCATTTGCAAGGTTGGATTTGGGGACCCTAAACTCTCTGGCCTACCCTGATTCCGAAAATAATACCAGACCTTTAACCCTCAGCTTCCTTGTAGGGTTTAGGGGTTTGGGGTTTAGGGCTTAAATCTTCAACCCAAGCCTGACTTTTGAAACTAAGTCCCTAAGCCCTACACCTTAAACTCCAAACCCTACTCTAGGAGCCTAATTTACC